TTACCGGTCATCTTTTAAAAAAAATAAAAATAAAAAAAATAAAATGAGAAGCCTTAGTACTTTTGAGTTGTCAGAGAACCAGTGACATTAATCATACTCCTGCTGTGAGCAAAGTTTGGTTTCATCATGCTGGCCAATTGGAGTGGATGGGATGGATGATTTCTGGGCAAGTCCAGGAGGCCCACATAGTTGTTTGGTCACTTTTTTTTTTTTTTAAAGATGACCAGTAAGGGGATCTTAACCCTTGACTTGATGTTGTCAGCACCTCCCAAGTGAGCCAACCAGCCATCCCTATATAGGGAGCCGAACCTGTGGCCTTGGTGTTATCAGCACCACACTCTCCCAAGTGAGCCACGGGCCAGCCCTGTTTGGTCACTTTCTGATCTGTTGTTTTGGTTTTTGGTTGTTTGGGTTTTCTCCCCCATTTTTAATTACAAACACAAAAATTGGCACCCACAAATCAGTGAACTTCTTTTTAAAATTGCATTTGATCAGGTGTGTTATTTACAAACATGCAAATGAGTAGTTCTTCATGACATGTTGAATTCACTGTTAACACAGAAATGATTTTTCTAGTTTCCTTTGCCATTCTTTATTTACTCTTCTATTTATAGTAGTTTTATGTTATATTTCAACTGTGAAAAAGGATCAGTAGTTAAAAACATGATGTTCAAAGCATAAGTTTGAAAACAGGGAAAATATATTAATATGAGGGAAGTTCAGAGCAGCCTATAATCATCAGCAGCTGTGGGTGTCCCTGGGGCACCCATAGGTGCCTCTAACAGCCAAGTAGGTGACAGCCCTACCCTACGCACAGCTAGTGAGTTGAGAGGCAACAATCTAAAAAAAACCCAGGGTATACAGATATAGTTAATTAAAACAGAAGTGGAAATGCCTATGAGCATAATTAGATACATCTTCTGGGAGAATAACTGCCTGAAACTGTACTCTTGTAGCATCATTTAGAAACCAGGCATGCAAATTTTGAAGGAAAATTTCCAGAATTTTTTACAATTCCATAAAAGTCGTGGCTAGAAGCAGTACAATAAAAAGCACAATGAAGTAAGCAAGGTCAAGGTCAATTTCTAAAATTCCTTGGAAGGTAAAGCCCACATACTAGAGGATTGAATAAAAACCTTGTAGATTTGGCCTAATTTGCTTATGGTCAAAATGAGGCAACCAGGCTGAAAAAAAATACCTTTATGAAATTACAAATGTTCCCTAATGACATGTGAGGGTACTTCAAAAGGTCATGGAAAGATTCATATTATCTTTCAATTCTATTTTTCCATGAAATTTTTGAAATACCTTCCTATATGGACATATACATGAAAGATTGTTATTGACCCAGTTCTTTGCCAACCACATAGTTGGTTCTAAACATGGATGTAAAAGTCCTGACTACACTACTAGTCTTTGAACTATTTGCATGTCTGTCTGTGAAGACACAATTTTGTAAAATTCTTGGTGGTTAAAAAGCTGAAGTTTTCAACAAAATATGTGTGTGTGTGTGTGTGTGTATATTATATATATATATATTTTTTACAGTATGGTATTGATTGTGGAGGGTTGGGAGTGGGATTATTCCGTCGGATAGGCGAGGCAGCCTTCAGGAACAGTGTGCTGATCAAGGCTTGATGCATACCCTGGCTGTATCATTTGTCACTACATCACTTCCCTAGAATTCCTTACTTCAAAGTGGAGTGGTAAAAATAGTAACATTTTGGAGGGAGTATAAAACTGAACCACAAAAAAAAAAAAAAAAAAACTTCCATCTTTTCAGACAGATTTATAAAGATAGGGAAAGTGACTTTGCTCTATGACCCAGGGAAGGTGATAGAGACTCCAAAATCAGTTTAAAATGTTTTATTATGTTTTGGCAGCTGACCAGTATGGTGATCTGAACCCTTAACTCTTTTACATCTACATATTTATGGAAGTCTGGGTTCTCAAAATGTTATGATATAAAAGACAGAAGAAAAATTGCTTAGAACACTAAACCTAACATGCAGCTTCAGAAAATTCAGCATAGTTTCCAGAAATAGATAAATCTGATTCATCTTTTGTATTAATGTGTTAGATAAAAGCATTATTTTTCTGTGATGAGAAGTAATTTTAAAACATTATTTTCATATTAAAACCAAAATATCTACTATGGAGCAGAATGAACAATAAGGCGACTTTTTAAAGGCAATATGGGATTTTAAAGAAATGTTTACCTTTGGAGAGCTTCAAGCTATTCATTGTTCTCTGCTATGGAAGAATTTTGTGTGGAAAAGTTTTTGAGAAACATTGTTTAAATCTGAGATAAGATGGGGCTGGCCTGTGGCTCACTCGGGAGAGTGTGGTGCTGATAACACCAAGGCCACGGGTTCAGATCCCATATAGGGATGGCCGGTTTGCTCACTGCGTGAGCGTGGTGCTGATGACACCAAGTCAAGGGTTAAGATCCCCTTACCGGTCATCTTTTAAAAAAAAAAAAAAATCTGAGATAAGATTAATTTAATTGATTTAAAGCACGGATAGTACATGTTCAAGGAGTTAAAACACAGTCATTTCCCTTTACATCACTGTTATTCTGTGTATAAATCACTCAGTTCCCACCTCTTCAGTGAAGCTCTCAGGCTCACCTGGGCTCAGAACAGGCTGTTGCTTGTTCTTCCAAGACTGTATACATCCACAGCCTTGAAATACCTGCTGGGCCACAGTAGACAAACTTGTTGACCAAGTTCCATGGTTATGTTGTTTAGAGACTTTGACTATAGCATGACAAAAAGAGGTCCTTACTGTAAAACAATGGCTTGGCTCCAAAAAGGATCCAAAGGCTGGTTTTTTTTGTTTGTTTGTTTTATTCTGGCACGATCTACCTGCTTGTGGCATCACTCATTGATTTCTCACCAAAAGCACTGTGTGTCCACATTTCACTGGGTGACGGAAACTGATGAAGAAGATTGTGGGGTTATTTGCCCAGGTAAAAAGGCTCTCCCTACCCTGCCACTTTTTCTAGCCAGGTGTGTATGTATCATCTCCTACCACCTGTCTCACATTTTCCCAGTTACCAGACCCTAGTATGCAGGACCACTCCCTCTTCGCACATAAGTCATCAGGCAAAGCCTGTGTCTCTCTCCACACCGAGTGCCCCTTAGACTGATTCAGAGTCTAGCAGGCCTCCACTTAGGTCAGACCTGATTGTTGTGGAATGCGTAAAGGGCACTGCTGTAAAGAGTTGCCTCTGCTGAATATGTCCTTCCTTTCCCCCTACAGACATAACCAGCGCGGTGCAATCCAAGCGAAGAAAATCCAAGTAAACAAGCTGGACGGCGACTTGATACTTGTAAATGTGTGTGAATTTTACAAAGAACAATTTTGAGCTGTGACTTTTAAAAATCCATTTCTGTACAGTTAGTCATTTTAATAATGTGGCCCTTTTCCTAGTCCCTGCAACTTGTAAAGTGCAATGAAGAAAGCAGGGGCAGGGTTGTTGAGCCCTTTTGATATTGCAAGATAAAGTTCAAGGTTTCTAAAATGTTGCCATGTATTGAGAAGAGCTAATGCCATTATAAATGTAATTAGTTTTCACATTTCCTAAGCAGCCTAGAGTACAGGATGAGAGCATTTTTAAATCTTTTAATGATGTATTGTGCTGTGAAAGTACTGTGTGTGAATAGCAGTAGTGGAGGCAAAAGCAATCTTCTCATTTGGAAATGTTGTAAATAATTTTATTATATAGTGTTTTGGATGTATTTGTTGTAGAAATGGACCAGTAAATAAAGAGAATCTAAAGGTTTGTACAATGTGAAATACTGAATGTGTTAAATAAATGTCATTGTCATAGAACATAAAGGTATTATTGGTAAAGTATTATTGGATGAGCAAGCTCTTTCTTTGAACCAAAAATTTGTAGACATAGCATTCTTTGTGAATTAGACTCCCATCTTGTCCCCATTGCACCTGAGATGCCCACCTGGCATGTTGAGGGAAATACACATATTTGCTCACTCAACACATTCTTGGCTTTGAAGAAACTAGTCCTGTTCAGCACTGTACGAGGTACTTTGATATATGTTGGTCAAATTTCTTTTGGTTGCAAATAACAAAACCAACTTAGAGAGGATCAAAGGTCATCCAGGATTTTCTAGGGACAGGAAGTGGTCAGCAACCCAGATGGAACTTTTTCTTCACGTTATACCTCCGTTTCTCTATGCACATGATGGATTGTTCCAAAACAATTGTGTTTACATCTCTTCCACTCAGGAGATAAGCCCAGACTGACCAGCACGATTATTTGTGCCAGCATCAAGAATCTAGCCCAATTTAGGTCAGGTTTCCACCTTCAGTCCAGTTCTGTGGTTAGATAGGGCAGATTCCAAATTAAAGGGATCATTTTGTGTTATATACTTCAGAGATATCCACTACATTCCACTCTTTGGCTCTCCTGTTCATCATCTGCCTAAGATGTAAGACTGACTTCTCATCAACATGCACAGGTTATTCCCTGCCCTGGCTCAATTCTTACTTCAAAACATGTAGTTTCCAAAGCCAGCTGATTCTGCTTCCAATCTATCCCCAACCTTCAGGGAACTCCAGTGCTTGGCACCCTGTACTTGTCTCAGCCCAGGCCTCAGCCTTCTGCTGTCTCCTAGGGCTGATTTATACTTCATCCCTTCCCCTCCAGTGGCTTCCAGCCCTTGCCGTAACCCGGTGCCTGAGACCAAAAGGATGAGTCGGTGATTCTGTCATGCTCTTATTCTCATCTCTGTTTCAACTGTCTTAATATTCATGTGTCTTGTATTATAAGGATCCTCTAAAAGTAGTTATTTATGAGTCAGACCCCACATTGTCTGGCCGTGTTCCTGGCAAATTTATCTACCCTCTTCCTCTCCCAGATGACACACCCACGAGAACCAAAGCCAGCTTAATAATAATACCCTGTGCCACCACTGTGCTTGAGATTACAAAGTGCTTCTCACACTTTAGCTCAACCCAGGCAGAAAGCATAATGTGCTTTAAATAGATTTTTATTTGTTTTTCTTTATATTAATTTTTTTCTCCCATACAGGAATAGCATTACAATCTAACAGTCAGAATCCTGTTACACACATACACAGGCATGCCACATGACCAGGTCAAGGTGGTCGTGTCCTTGAGTCTGTTGACATGTCATAACATGATCAACCAAAGTCTCCTCATTTCAGCCAGTCTCAACAGAAAACACCCAATAGGGTTTCATTCAACTTGTTGGTTCCTTTTGGAACTAGGTGGCAGGGCAAGAGAGAAGGTATTAGAAGTGGGCTATGGTGCATCTGCATTCAGTGCCCTCATGTAAAGCCATGTGGATCTGCATAGGCATCCAAGAGCTCTGGTGGGGGTCTTTGTTGCACCTATGACATTACAGGTCTGAGCAAGTTGACCACAGGGTTCCAGACAGACTGGGGAGCAAGCATACTCCAAAACAGCACCAAAACTGCATTCATACACACATGGTGCCCTGCTGGAGCTAGACTGGCAAAGGCTGGAAAGTGATGCCCAGCTTGAGGGAACCACTCAGACTTATTGGTGAATAACTGGAAGTCACCCTTTGATGTAATTGGGACTCACTCTAGAAACAAGGGTCCCTCTGACGTACTTAATTTTGGCAAAGTGCTGGTAGTATCGACATTAATACTCACAAACTGGTACAAACTTCTCCAGGGTCTCTGAAAACATCAGTCAAGACAGACTCTCTAACCCCCTCCTGTCTAAGTTTGCATAGGACTTTGTGAATTCTGGTTCTCTATGTTTTCAAGTTCTGTGCTTTAAAAAAAAGTCCTGAAGCATGCTCAAGGTGAAAGGCACATACACAGTCAATACAGTATGATAAGGTCTGATGCTTCAGGAGTCAGACTAGCAGGAGACTGAGTAGTGTTGGTTCTTAGAAATCTGTACACAATTAAAATATCGCCACACCCAAATGCTACAGAATCTATAGGAAAGTACAAAAAAAAAAAAAAAAAACTTGCTACCCGCCAAGTGAGAAATTGGAGGGTTCTAGAACTATGGGAGCCTCCAGAAATATAGGTAGAGGCAGGATCTTTTGAAATTTGTGCCAAATACCCTATTAACTCAAACTCTTCCCCTACCAGAAGGGTCATGGGCACTGCTCAGGACTGAGCTCAGGCTCCAGCTGGCAGCAAGGAATATGCAAGAAAGGTTGGAGGGAGTTTCAGCTACTGAAAGTGCTGAAGACCCTCCCAAAATGCTACAAAATCTATAGGAAAGTAAAAAAAAAAAAAAAAAAAAACCTTGCTACCAGCCAAGTGAGAAATTGGAGGGTTCTAGAACTATGGGAGCCTCCAGAAATATAGGTAGAGGCAGGATCTTTTGAAATTTGTGCCAAATACCCTATTAACTCAAACTCTTCCCCTACCAGAAGGGTCATGGGCACTGCTCAGGACTGAGCTCAGGCTCCAGCTGGCAGCAAGGAATATGCAAGAAAGGTTGGAGGGAGTTTCAGCTACTGAAAGTGCTGAAGACCCTAAGCTGGCTGTGAAGTGCCCAAGGGGTAGCTGGAAGAATAAAAGGGACTAGGTTGTAACTGAAGAACACAGACAGAGGAGCAAGCTTGTCAACTACTGAGGCCCTAAGTGGACTGGTGTGGAGACTCTGATCTGCTTTTAGTGCCAATTTGAATTATTCCCTGGGATAGGAGATGCCAACAGGGCTTCCTCTGTCTCCATCCCAGCATCCATGGGGATACCTCACTCCCTTTCCCATACACCCCACATGAGGCCTGGGGCTATAGGGTCAGGGAGGGCAGCTGCCTTTGCCCTCATGGGAATGCAGAATTTTCTCCAAGCCTCAGCTCGGCTGTGAGGTCTGAAACCAGAATTAGAGCAAGTGGGAAGACCTATGTTAGCATGTAGCAGGAAATCTTACAAGTTTCAAGGAAGAAAGAGCACACACTAGAAAAGGACAGCTAGAAAGGAAATGGTAAGCAACTCAGTGCATCCCAAGAGGTTGTTGCTGGTGTCTGAGCCCAAAATTCAATCCCAGAGGCAAGATGAAGGCTGAGCTGTCAGTCTTGGGATGGCTTCACACACAGCTTGTCCTCTTCAGCATCATTCCTCTGCATTCTTACCTGGAGTGTGTGCCCTTTCCTTGCCTAGAAGCCCTCTGACCTGCATCTCTCCTAAGCTAGTTCTAGCACCTTGGGCATATGAACAGATGGCCAGGACAGCAGAGCCTCGCCTAGCTTTTACTCCTGGAGTGGCATGTCAGGGTTAGGGTGGCAAGGTACTAACTAAGCCCTTCAGACTCAGGGGCCTGCAGAGGGGTGGATTTCAGAAAGAGATTTGGGATGTGGGATTATAGGATAGAGAAGTGGGGCTGACTCCAGGCTCTAGCCTGAGAGCAGGGCTTGGCCTCTCTGAGCAAGCACAGTGCCAGCTCCCATGGTGCCCTGCTCCCTACTGCTTCTCAATCTGTCTGTCCTGTCTACATCTCCAATAGGCTGCCTCTTTCTCTTGATTCCCTCCACCTTCTCCCTCTAACTCACATCTCACGGTCCTCTTTCCACATACTTTTTTACCTTTCCAGGCCTAAGCAGCTGAAAGGAGCCCAGCCCCCAGGGCAGAGAAAAGGAGACTAAAAGGAAAACCCTGGGCCTGAGCCCTTATTGGAGGGCAGGGACAGTGGCCCAGGCTGCACAGGTTGTACCTGGTCAGAGCTGGGCTCAGGGTCCCCTCCCCCTATCCATTTGGGAGGGAGTTACTGGGACTGAATAAGGGAATAGGAGTGAGTGTAATGCCAAAAATGGGATAGAGTGAGTCATGTAAGGTGGGAGTTGAAGGTGGGGAACGAGCCAGATGAGAGACTGGAAGAGGCTCTCAGAAATAGGGGTGGGCCAGAGGAAGAGGACTGGAGGACAAGGGTGAAGTAGAGAGACAGGGATGGGGACCAGACAAGGAAGGATGTTTGGCAGGAGGATGAAGGATTAAATGCTGGGCATAGAGGCCAGGAGGAGGGAAGGTAAAAGGGGCAGGAGGGGTTCAGAGGGGGATTAGATGATCGGAGGGGGGGGGGGGGAGTCGAGGGAGTTGGGGAAGGAAGGGTTATCACTCCACCTCACACACTTTAAGAAGGAGGGAGGTTGTGGGGTCCAGCCCGAGGCAGGCCACGGCCACCCTTCGAGCAGCACACTGGTTGCGGCGTAGGGGCCCGACAGGGGATCGTGAGTCGGCGAGGGGGCGGTGGCGCGGCCGACGGAGGCTCAGAAGTTGAACTGACGCTGGCATGGCTGGTAGATGAAGCTGCCCTGCTGCTTAGGCCGGCGGGGACGGCTCTCGCGGGCGCGGTTCTGCCGTTGCAACACCTTGGCGCCCAGCGCGCGGCGCTCGGCCCGCTGCCGGGCCCTCTGCAGCCGCCGCACCTGGCCCGCCTTCTCCAGCAGCACGGCCCGCACCGGCAGAGGAGCAGCGGCGTGGTGCAGGGCCCGGGGCTCGCCGTGGGCGGGCACCAATTCTCTGCGGAGACAGAGCGGGACTCTGTTAGGACGGGCGTCAGGACCGGGATGGGAGTGGGAAGACCGCTCCTTTGCGTTGAAGCAGTGACGTCTCTGCTCAGTGTGGCGCCTGACACCTTTCTTGTGGGTACCAACCTTTCCCCCAAGCTAACCTGGAGATGCCTCCTCGGTTCTAACCGTGACAGATAAACCGGACCCCGGGGAAGGCTCGGCCTCAACCCCTAATTCCGCCCTTGCCTTCTGTACAAGCCCCTAAAAGCCCCACCCCTTCGGCGCTCTTGCCTTGCCCCTCGGCCTCCGAAACCAGCCCAAGCGTCTTAGCCACGTCTCTCCCAAGCCACCAAGCGACGCCTCTCCCCATCTGAAAGCCCCGCCCCCTCCTAGCCTCGCCCACAGGTCCCGCCCTTTGCCTAAAAGACACGCCTCCAGAGGCCCCGCCCCCTCAAGTGCCAGTGGGGCTCTGGCCAGTTCTCCCCTAGCCTCCTGGCCAGGACCCTTGCCTCCAAGATTGTCTCACTAGGTCTCCAGTCTCCGCCCCCGGCCCGCTCACCCGTCGCTAAGGTCGCCGTCCGGCAGAGCAGCGTCCGGGTGCGGGGAAGGGGGCCCAGGCTCCAGCACTATGGTGCTGCCGGTGACGTAAACGGACATGCTGGGGTGCTCGATGAGGAGGTCCTCCAGGGGGCTGCTCTGGAGGCGGGCGGGCCCGAGTCCGGGGCCCTCTGCAGTAAAACAGGCGGGAGGGGTAACAAACCAGCTCTCGTCCATCAAGGAGGGCGCGGGCGGAGGGCGGCCTGCGGGGGCAGGGGCGGCCCCAGGGCTGGGTGGAGCCGCGTAGCTGTCTA